GCGGTGGGGCGCTGGTGGGGGAGCCGGTGAGGGTGGCGGCTGTCGGCCCCTGGCCTCCGCGCCGCCTGCGGGAGCGACCCCCGAGGGTAAGGCTGCCCGGCGGGGGCGGTGAGGGGAAGGGGGCGAGGAGAACGCGGGTCCTTCTGCCGGCCTGCGGGGCTCCGACGGCTGCCGGACGGGGTGGGCGGCCCGCCGAGGTGCGGGCAGGGGGTGCAGTGCATCCCCCCAACCTCCCCCCCGCACCTGCGCCCCGCATTTCCGCGGCCAAGGGCAGGCGCATCCCGGGGTGAGTGTAGGGGCATCCCTCATCCCTCCCGTTGTCTCGGGGGCCGTGTCGGCGAGCAAAGAAAATGAGCTGCTTCAACGGGCAGGAGCAGACATCTGGGTGAAGCGTGTGGCGGGGAGGAAGGTAACCTCCGGGTTCTCACCCGCCTCCTGGGTTTGGAAGAAAAGGTTTGGAAAGATCTGACAGCCAGGGGAGGAAATCTCAAATTCATGGCATGAAATAAGCCAGAGAAAAGCCCCCACGCTTGACCTGGGTTACAGCGTGCCTCAAAATTCAGTAGAGGAGCTGGTGTCAGTGTCTCACATCTGGCTGTTAAACAGCTTACGGTTAACTTGCAAAAATTAATACGTAATCTCAAAAAAGAACACGTGCAAGTGTGCGGTGCGCCAGACGCAGAAAACCTGTGGTGTCCAGTGCTCCCATCTGTGTTACTTCTCATTCATTGCCACAGAGCGAATAAGCATGGTGCATATTCCCCCTGCATTTGCAGTTAAAATGTCTTGCTATTTTATCAGGTTTCCATTTGTAAGGCATAAAACTCGTAGCCTTGATTTCTGAGTGGAGGATAGGTGGGAGACTAGTTACACATTACAAAGCCTTTTGCCAGAGAACTTGCAAAAGCGAATGTACAAGGAGGGGCGGAGATAAAGCTGAGTGTTGATTAACTGTCCTGAAGGGAAAGAGTACCGTAGTTTCATGGCAGTCTGTGCCTCTGATATACTAAGAGGCCCTACTTTGTCTCACATCCCCCCAAAATGGCTATTTTTTTTTGCTTTTTTTTTTTTTTTTAATTGGGCTAAAATTCGAGATATGTCTTGCTGCTTGTCTGTCTGTGGATGGCACAGCAGAGAGGAGGATCAGATGAGATGGAAGAGAATGGGTCTGCCTATGGCAGCAGTTCTGGTTTATACTGGATTGAAGTGGTTGTGAAAATGCAGTGTGGTATAATAGCAGGTGTAACCCATTTACAAAAGCCTGTTTCTATAATGTTTTGACTTCAGCAAAGTAGAACATGTCAAAATAGAACATGAAAATGCTTAATTTCATTGTTCATGAACACATACACTGATGTAGTGTGCTGACATTTGGCTTTAGAAATTTATTAAGGAGCCTTACTAAATAGGCATTTTTAAAAGAGTTTCTCTTTGTGATGCCAATACTGCAGCACTTCTGAAAACTCAGGTTTTGACACTGTCATTTTAGGGGTATAGTTTCTTATATTAGCACATGTTGGAATAAATAACAAAGATTTAAAGTTGTGAGTGGAAGCAAACTTGCCTTTTTTTTTTTTTTTTTTGTGTTACTACTGTTTATGGATATGCCCCTTTTAGAGCATTTACTTTGAAAGAAGATAATGGTGAACAGGTTAGGTGTCTCTAGACTCCCAAGCAAGCACCAAGTAATATTATGATTGGAGCAGTAAACAAAAGACATGGACAAAAGTGCAATTGTCTTTTTGTAACTGTCAGTAATTTATTACTTTTTTTTTTTTTTTCCCCAGGAAAGAAACCTCATCTCCTTCCTTGGGGAAGGACAGAGCAGACACAGTGATCATTGGAGGTGGTTGTGTTGGTGTGAGTCTAGCCTATCACTTGGCTAAGGCTGGCTTGAAAGATGTTGTTCTGCTAGAAAAATCTGAGCTCACTGCAGGATCTACTTGGCATGCAGTAAGAAATGTTTTGTTAATCTCTCAGATTAACAGCTGTTTGTGTATCTAATGGTGAAGGGAGTTTCACTACCTTTATAGTCCCTGGTTTTCTAGAGATTATTTTGGTTATTTTGTACGCACAAACTTTAGCACTGAGTTCTTTATAGATTGTCTGTATAAGTTGTGAAAGTTGATTCGGCTATCCATAGTACCCTTTTCTCATTTGTAAAAATCGGGACATATACTGTATTGTGAAATTACTTGAAGGTAACTGTTATTATTATTATTATTATACATTTTTGGCAGTTAACTGGATTTAGACTTTAAACTTTATTTTAACTTGGACTTTTTAAATTTAAGGTTTTATTTCTAAGGCAATCTAAAATTGACATTGCAGACTTTATGATTTGAAGTGGTTGCACTGGCAAGCATAAACCTGAAAAGTGAAAATTGGCATTATTGTACTGTAATTAGTTTTTATATATGTGCCATCCTGAAAAGGAGGTGATCAAGAAGCAGTATTGCTGTCCAGTTCTTAGACAATATCACTGTCCCAGAAACTGATTCTTATTAGAGACAAGAGCTTTCTTGCCTGCTACTACTGACATTGCACAAAATCTCAGAGGAGCAAAGCTAACAACTGTACACTGCGTTTTTTTTAAGACTGAGTGTTTGCCTGTGCTATAAGGGGAAGAACTAAAAAGTCATATATGTAATAATGACAGGGTGGGGACAAGACCTGTAGTAATCCTAATCATAGGGACATACTGGTGCCCAGCATGCGTGTTTGTAATTAGGTATTTTCTGTGTCAATGTCTGGAGTAGGTAGTGTAATGACATGAAATAAAGTTTGTCACAATAATAGATGCTTTTTCCATTCATTTCCAGCTACACTTAACTGAAATTGGGAGAATGTTACCCCTCCATGTAGCAGTCCAAAGGAGTAAAAGCCCAAGAGTTTGCTGTCTCTTGAAGTACTCTGTTAATACAGTAGAACATTTATGCAATACTTATAAGTATAGTATCTGAGTGCCTTTTAGGCACAAATTAAGGAGGGTAACTGAGATGGATTATATTTTCCCATACCACTCTCAAGGGAGGAAGTCTGAAGTTTGAAATACTTCATCTTAGTGCAGATATTTTTCGTGTTTGGGGCCTTATGAGAGAACAACAGTAAAAACTGAAATTTAAAAAAAAATCACTGCATGAAATGTATAAACAGGTTTATACCTCATTTTACTTGCTTTTCAACAAACAAAGCAAAAGATTGCATGGAGTTAGGATAAACAAAATTCAGCTATTACATCTTTTTTAGACAGAATCATACCACAGCGAACAGAGCAACACCATGCAAAGTGTCAGATCACGTGTGTTGAATCGTAACTATGAAATACTCAGAGAAATACTTTGACTTAAGTACATGGGTGCATGAGTGAGGCATGGACTAAATTCTGTTTACCCAATGCATATACAAAACAATACGTGTATAATAAATTAATTAAAATCCCCTCATTGAATAAGACACAAATGGGGGTTGTTACTGAATGTTTTCTTTATTCTTCTTGTTATACTCGCTCACTCTTGCTTATTGCTCATAACTATGTAAAAGCAACCTCTCCTTCAGTATTTTTGTCCCCACTTCTCAGTGGAAGCGGCCATGGAGCACTGAATGAAGAATTCTGTTTCAAAGGTAGGGAGGGACCAGGAGCATAGCAGAGAAGATGCCTGCACTGCCACTGTTGAGAGGGCAGTCTTGTGGCACCTGTTGCAACAGAATTTGTTGTGATTAACACAGCAAGACAGTTATGGGACAGGGTAAACTGGACACCTATTAGGTAGAGTACATGGTATACTGTCTCTTTTCATTGAACTCAGAGTGCTGTGTCTGAAGATGAAAAAGTTGATGACAAGTCTGTTGCAGAAGATGAGAAATATCAAAACTGACTATGAGTTCTTTGTTCTACTAGGTACTGTGCGTTCATCAGTGGCTTCCTCACTGTGATGCTGTACTAGATACAGACAAAAATTACTCATGTAGTTAGCATGTGAAATGTTGTGTAGTATAATGCCTGCACCCAGAAATGCTGAAAGCCTGGTTCAGATGTTGCTGTACTATGGCACATTTACCCTCTTGTATAGTCCATTAAGTCCTGCCAGAGCTCAGGATCGTGTTTGGTATAAATCATATTCCTGCTAGTATTGCTGCCAAAACTTTCTTACACTTCTCAGATCTGAGCTAAATATGGCTGACTTTCATATGTGTTATTTAAACAGCACAGAGAGTGTACATATTTTTATATTTCCGGTAATAAGGAGATACAAGTAACACAGCAAGTGCTGCTCATTTTTATACCTATCTAACCATGACAAAGTAGTGGTTACTACATGTGTGTAAATTAGGTCAAAGCTTAGGCTTCAAGAACTCTTGAAGTTGTACTATTCTGCAGGTCAGATCATTTGCAACCTCACCGAAACGCTAGGGGCTGAACAAGACATATATAACTCACTCAGCAAATTGACTTTTTGTGTTGTTACTTTTTTAAAAGGTGTTTTCTAAGAAAATGTTTAACCTATCATTCTGTCATGTGAAACTTCTTCTTGCAACATGCAATTGATCTTGCTGCTGGCAGTTAATCAAGCACAGCCACGACAAATAAAATCTTGTTACAACTTGTCAAACTTGCGAAAAGAGAGAACAGAGGGTATAACACTGTTAATACCATTTTCCTCCAGAATGCTAATCTAGTAATGGCATTAATATAAAATCTGAAACAGATTGGAATAGAACAAAACTGGTACATAAGCATTTTAACATATACAAATGTCAACTATTAAAATGCTTTAGTGTGTCAATTCTCATACCAAAGTGGTCATTCTTAAAATTATTTTCCCAGATCATATTCATCGACAATAACAAAATCTGTCTTGCAAAAATAGAGCAAAACCTAGAGCAAATCTCCTTCAAATACAGGAATGGTTCACTCTGAAACTCAGGAAAAAAAGTAGTCACATTGGGAGGCCAGCTGGGCCAGATCAGGGGCTCTTGACTCAGTTCTGGAGTGAAAACACAGTACATAAGAGGTAGCAGGAAAAGACTACAAAGAGGCAATTTAGAAAAAGTCCCTGTGCAATTGAAGGGGATGTTTGGAAAGCCAAAGCTCAACTAGAGTCAAAACTTGTAAGGAACATTAAAGGCAACAAAAAGAGTTTCTACTGCTGCATTAGTAGTAAAAGGCTGAATAAGGAAAATACAGGACTGTTGCTGAATGAGATGGGTAATTTAGTCA